GAGTCTTTTATTCATATTTTACTTATTAATGTCTGGAGCTAAACTATAGGATTTGGTTCTAGTTTGCTTGTGTTTGAGTAATTTTGGCTAATTAATGTGTTGCTAAGTTCTACTACAACAAAGGAGAGCAGATCCCAACCATTAAGGGTTGGTGAACTTGGCGCTTAATTTTTGAATGGAAGCATCTTTGATGAAGTCAGCAAAATTTGGAAGAGATAAGAAAAGATCTAGCAGATGATTCCTTCTTAAAAGTACCTAGTTTGAGTAGGAGTTAACTTCATGTGTGTATGTTGGGTAATAACCCATGGATGTTTACTTTTGTACTCCTTACTTTGTGCTTTATGCTAGTATAAATATTGAACTCTAGTTTTATTGTAAGTAAGCAAGTAAGGAGTCAGTAACTTACTACAAGTTATGATCTCTAAACCTTTTGCTCTTTAATTTTAATCTTGAAAGCTTTTGGTACTTGACTATTGCTACAACAATATTCTTCATTTATACACATTTACTTTCTACGCATTTAATTTCCAACACTTCACTTTTATGTTATTTCAAGTTTCCGTTATTTACATTCAACAATGTTGAGTTAAACACCCTAGCTTGTGTGTAGGTGACGGTTGGATGATTAAGACTTAGTGTTCGTGGATAATTGCTTTTGCCATAGCAATTTACTCCATTATTCACTCTTCGGTAGAATATTTCACAGGTGATTCTTGACAAAGTGACGCATGTTGTTTCACCTTAGTGAGTTGGACTTAAATTTAAGACAACGTAAATGTTTTAACCAAGAGGGTTATAGATGGCTATATAGAGCTATAACAACATTCATATATTGTTAAACTATATGGAAAGAATGGTAAGATCTATACTCAGCCTGGATTTGTACATCTCCACGAATACTGCCAGCATATGGTCTAATCTGAACTTCGAAAAAAGGCTGTTTGATCTAATAGTGGTAGTAGAAAACTGTTCTTGCAACATTATCCATATGATGTTATAGCAAGGTTTTGCCGCACTATGCTGCTAAAATTACAACCAGATCTTGCACCCATGCTTTTCTTTCCAGTATTTGATACATTTCAGTAAAGTTATTTGTTTTCTGAAGATTCATTGCTTTCACAAAATCTCTTGAAATCTTACTTTAAGATTGACTTTCTATAACTCTTTGCTTTTAAATCCCTATGGAATGATATATGGTATTGTTACGAGATTATATAAAATAAATCTCTCGGACTGTTAACAAATAGAGACTAATGCAAGTATATATTTATCAATCCACTATCGTCTTTTACAAGTAATAAAGTGGTAAAAATACCGAATATCGTCCATGAATTCGAAGAAATATTTGTGGTGAGTTGATTAAGAACTACTGTTGTGAGCAAGTAATAAAAGAGAGCTTAGGGTGTAGGGATTTGTTAAGATATTAAATCGATTTAAAAGTAGACAGCATGCTACATCAAGGTTCTATAGCATGCTTTATAAATAACTTGTCTTTACAACTAATAGCTTCTTTAAGGTACTCTCTCGAGATGTAGAATGGCACACAGTCATAGATCAAGCCCTCATATCTCTATGCAAGGCTGGAGTCTCGACATTGGCTCAAACTATTCCTTTTATAATCTAAATGGAGCGAAAATGAGTCTCCTCGATTATAAGTAACTCTTTCGAGCCTACTTCCATATCATTCAAGTTGATGTGTGCTTGTTGGTTTATCTTTAAATCCAACACACTTTAACACTTTTAAATAAGTGATCAACTTGTCCATAGATGATGTTTTTGCAATAAAAACTTGAATAACGTAGTTATAAAGAATTATAATTTATATTTCTACAAACGAAATCGATCTTTATCTTAACTTCACCCAACACCCAAGCTATATCTTTAGCCCAACATACTTGAAAAATTAATTATGTAAACGATAATGCATAAGAAAAGAAAAATAAAGTAAAAGAAACAAATGCTAAGCGTAATTATAAAAGCGTCTAACAATATTTAAACTAGAAAAATTAATTTCATGAATAATAATAAAACATAATAAGTAGAGCATAAGAGAATAAAAGATGAAAAGAGAAATAAAAGTAAAGAGGAATTATAAGAAGAAAAGTAAAATACTTGCAAATACAACTTTAAATCCAAGAGAACCTTCAACATTCAAATTACTCCAAGTGTTTCACTAGATTGTTTGTATACAAATTGTTTACTTACAAGGCCAAGCCTCCCCCTTTTTTATAGTGGAAGAAGGGAGGATAAGGACCAAAGGATAAAAACTTTACCCAACTTTTTACAATGTCCAATGGGTAAAACCAAGCTACCTAAATAATAACAAAATCAGATCTTAAAGTTGTACTATGAGATCTTGAAATCTGCAGGAGATGGACTGCCAAAAAGGAAAGAAGTGACCTCAAAATATTCTCGTACTATTCCAAAAGTGCCCCTGGATCGTCCTACAGCATGCTTCAGCCAAGTACCTAACAACATGACTATTTTTCCAAAAATCAGCACATATCCAAGAAGTAAACATGTTTATCTCATCACTTTAGCTCCAATATAAAAAGATAGAAAAACAAAACAAAAAGACTCAATTTGTGGAATTTTGGGAAAATAAAATGGGTAAATAAAACGAAGAACATGTTTATCACATCACTTTAGCTCCAATATAAAAAGATAGAAAAACAAAACAAAAAGACTCAATTTGTGGAATTTTGGTAAAATAAAATGGGTAAATAAAACAAAGAAAAAGTGTAAAAGTATCAAATAAATTGATACCTATCAGGTATTATATACCATTATTACTTGCATGGACGATACTAGTGAGCTTGTATACCTACACGATTTGCTAGTTGCTATAGAGCAAATAAACCAGACAAATGTTCCTAGGACTAATCTGAGTCAAATCGAGCCAAAATCTCAATAACTCAATTGACTATTAAATAGAAGTCATCAATAAAAACGTATTTAACCAATATTTATGCAAACACATGCTCTAAAGACATGATTAACTCAAAAACACATCATTGGTTGAGACAAACTATTTTCCAACTGAAATCATGCCATATATTTCCAAAATGTCCCATAACATAACAATATGCATTTTCCAAACCAAATATACTACAAATATGAGAAATCATTTGAAAATGATACTCTATGGTAGTCCTACACCATGCTTAGTCATTCTACATTGCTCCTTCTTCTAATCTTTCTTTCTTGTTCACAGTCGAGTCTGTCAAAGCGCTTGGGTAAGCATTCAAAACAAAAGAAGTCTCCTAGTCTTTTCACAGAGGTTTATTCTTGTCAGTATTAGGTTCAACAAAGGAACAAAGTCAGGGGGAGAAGCACACAAAATGGCATAACCAAATAATTCGCCCCATAACGATTTCCTAACAAACATATTAATTATTACCAGGCTCACGTACGTGAAACTCTGGAAACTTGGAACTTGCCTTCCTAACTGTAATGGGATCTGATTACAGATTTCGAAAGACAATCTACAAATTAGAATGAAGCAATATGAGGATCAACATGAAGCAGCCTTGGGTGTGAGTGAACTCCCCAGGAAAGGAAGAGATACAGGAAGCGGTTAGGTGGCTAGATAAAGTCTTGAAAAAGATTCTTTCCAGACATGAGCCTCACTTAAGAGGGAAGTAATTTTTTCCCATTAGCCTAACTAATGATTTACCTGAAATTTTGCTGCTTGATTCCTTAGTTAGTTTTGGGACGACCTCGTTATCGAGTCTCATCAATATCAAATGTCTTTTGGTATGTCTTCTTCATCTATTATCAATAACGTTAAGCATTGGTTTAAGGATTTATTGCAGCTTGATTATCCTGAAAGTGTTTGAATCCACTTGTAGGCAAGCTCTTAGTTCAGATTTTCCGATGAGGTAACGTGCTGGGACTTTGACAGAAAAAGGATTGAGGAAAGCCGTTGACCAAAACCTAGTGAGTTAAAGTAAGCTTCTGGCTAAAATGAGCCTTTTTAAGCTTTACTAATAACTATAAAGATAGAAAGGGCTTGCTTCTACTTTCTTCATCTATGCCTATGCCTCCAAGGATGGATGCATTTGTTCATGATTCAGTTGCTATGTATTTTTCTTAGCTTACGGACTTTAAAGTGAAAGAGTGTGACTTTTAAAATAAGCCTAAGTCCCTACCACTTTTTTAAGAAAATCAAGCCCCTACTACTTACTTTGTTATGATTCAAAAGATGAACGACCCTCAGTCAAACTAGAAAGAGTTAGCCTTCTTGCTCGCGGCTTTGTATGAAGCTCGTACTGTAGAGCACCACCAAGGACTTTTCTGGCCATGAATTCTGGGAAAATGCCAGCTGCTTAATCTGCCTAAAGTTGTGTAAACCAGAAAACTCTTCCCTACAATTCTTCTTTCTCTTCCAGTCTTATAAAGGAAAGAAAGTAGGATGAATAGGGCAGGGGGCAAAGATGCCAAACAAACCTGAGTATATGGTGTATGTCCTTGATATGTTAGAGTGTGATTTGGGGATCTTTTGTTGCTCCGCACCTTGCAGTCGAGTGGCTTCACTCCTATACTAGAACCAACATTTTTAGGGTAGTTTTATCTTCTCTTGTTGCTAAGAAGGAATGGAACCCACATATCTCTGTTGACTTCATAACTACCTTGTTACTTTTCAGTATTTGAGTATCCTCTTGGCCGATTACCATGACACGATTACTGACCATGGTTTGTCTTTTTTCGGACATGCAAAATGACTCATGCCTTATTTGAGACTAATAATGTAGGCGGTGGACTCTTTTACCTATCTAATTGAAAGTGGGGTATAGTTTAAGCTTCGAAAAATGCCACACGCTCATTATGATTATGAAAAATTTCATATATCGAAAAAGCTTTAGAATATGAGCTCCTCTTCCTTTTGGTATTTTGAAGTTGAACACCTAGGAATGGCAACGGACTAGGTTCGAGCCGGTTTTTAGAGTCCCTGTCCCCGAAACCGATAACCATAACCATCCCGATCCCCGTCGGGGATCTTATCGGGTCCCCGCGGTTTCCCCGATCTCCGTTGGTAACCCGTTAAGAGCAGAATAATCGTCAACCATTGATTTTACCTGAATCCGAACCCGAACCCGGATCTGAAAAATCACATATTTATCAAGCAAAAAATTGGAATAAAAACATAATCAAATAAATCTGTTTGGCTATTTCTTGGACAACCCATTATCGAACAAAAACATAATCAAATAAACCTTGAGAAAAAGACAATGACCATCATATTGAGTACATGATCAACCCATGATCAACCAAAAACGTCTTAAATTACAATCCCAAAATAAACTAGAGTTTAGACACAATCCAACTAACTCGAAAGACAAGTAGACAAATTTGCTAGATTACTAACTTGAAACTGGAAACTCCCAAATGGCCAAAGTCGTCAACCCAAGCTTTCATTTTTCTTAGCTTCCTATAAAATAAAATGTATGTAAAAGACTAAATAAATAAATATACCATAATCATTGTCCATAGTATTGTAATTGTAGTTACCTCTTCCACGTCATAATCATACTCAATCATACGGCAATATGCTTCGGTCTCATCAGAACAAGTTTCTATAAAGAACACAATGTAGTATAAATAAATAAAATGATTGAAATATTAAATATATAACTAAAAAGAATTCATAACTAAAAACAAATATAAGATTACCTCGTATTTCATTCAATAGTCAATTTTGAGCACACATTAGAGCCTCCGATGTTTTTGGATGAAGTCGACTACGATGTGGAGTTACCAATCTTCCACCGGTACTAAATGCAGATTCTGAGGCGACAATCGAAATAGGAACGGCTAATATGTCTCTAGCCATCCTTTGAAGTGTTGGGTATTTAAACCCATTTGTCTTCCACCAAAGTAGCAAATCAAGTTCCATGTCTTTAGGCAAAAGTTTCTCTTTCAAATAATTATCCAATTCTGTTGTAATACCTGAATCATCATGTTGGTTGGCAATTGAAGCAATATTTGTTAATAATTTTTTAAATTCAACCCGATGACTTGTTAAAGACCCTGAACTTAAAGAAGACGAACCACTAACACCTTTCGCTATTGTTTCTTATGCCAGGATCACTAAACTCATATTCTTGAAGTAAAGTGTAGACCAATTTCTTAAGCTTTTCAAGTTCAATCGCTGATTTGTCTTGTTCGTACAACACGGGAAAAAGTAACTCCACAAACTTCAATTTATACCAAGGATCTAAAACCGCTGCCATTCCCATAATCCCATGTATAACAGACCGATACTTGTCAAACTTCAAAAGCATCTTTTTAGCAATGCTTCTAATAACTTCACTAGGAGAACATGACCAATCGACCAAAGAATACCTAATTTCACATATCGATGGAAAAAATACATTTGTAGCGGGATACTTTGAACCAGAAAACATTACCGTTACCTAAGATTGCCAAAAAAACAAAAAACTAAAGTTACCTCATATCAACAAAACAAAAGTAAAGTTAAATAAAAATTAGAATTACCTCATAAAATAATTGCAATCTATCACAAATCTCTTTAGCAAACTCCCAATCCCGCTGCGTTGGCAAACTTTTATATTGAGACTCTCGTTGGTGTAAGCGTTGAAAAACGTCTTTGTAAACTATAGCAACACTAATCATCAAATAAGTAGAATTCCATCGAGTCTTGCAATCAATTGCCAATTTCTTGGTGGATGATATTCCTAATTGGCGAGCTGCTTCCTCAAACTTTTGATTTCTTTTTGGCGATGCAGTCCAAAAGGCCACACTATCTCTAATCCTTTCAATCCCGTCCCCAAGAACAGCCAGTCCATCTTGAACTATCAAATTGAGAATGTGTGCGCAACATTGCATGTGGAACAACCTCCCACCCATCATAAGTGAACTCATTGGAAGCTTGTCCAACAATATGTTGATTATTGCATCATTTGTGGTGCAATTATCAACAGTTAGTGTAGACAGTTTCCTATCACGATTCCAATCCAATAAACAATCATAAAGTACATCCGTAAGAGCTTCAGATGTATGTGGGCAAGGCACATAAATAAATCTCATGATCCGACTTTGCATATTCCAATTATGATCAACAAAGTGAGCAGTGACCGCTATAAATCTTTTTTTTTATTGTTAGCCGTCCACATATCAGCCGTCCACATATCAGTCGTAATTGCTATCCTACTAATGTTCTTCTCTAACATTTTCAATGTCTTTTGTCTTTCAAAATCATCAATCTTTAGTATGTCACTTTTAATGGTGTTTTGAGATGGAACCTTAAACAATGGTTGAAGACCCCCCACAAACTTTCAGAACCCATGATGTTCTACTATTGACAGTGGATACTCGTGTATGATTATCATCTCCGCGATATTTCTTCTTGATTTATCCGCATTAAGAGTATAATTAGAAACATATGATGAAGTACCATCAACCTTATTTTGCTCCCCTACTAAGATATGTTGGTGTATATCTCGAACAGGTCGCCTTGCACAAGACTTGAAATGATCATGTAAATACCTTGTACCATTTTTCGAATTCGCTCCCAATTTCATTTTGCAATAGTTAAACTCTGTTTTATCATTACCATCCATTTTTATCTTCTTAAAGTGGTTCCATACTATTGATCGTGTTTTCCTCTTTCTACCCACGACTCAATTTCATCATTATCAGAGACATCATTAGTTTGCGTTTCATTTTGAGTCACTGAATTAATCGCAGGTGATGATCCAATTGGCATACTTTGTGAAATAGACTCATTTATTATTGGATGACTATCAGTAGGAGTGACTGTATTTCCATATTTGTTATCACCTATGTAAAGACAAACAAATTAAATAATATCAAGTTACCAAACCTACTCAATGAATCAACAAATAGATTATGAACAAAATCTAGTTACCAAGTTTTAATATTCACTTAGATGATAGTAGGCAACAAGCTTCACATACTTTTTAGGGTTATATAGAGTTCTATAGGATTTATATAGAGTTCTATAGGATGTATTAATGTTACAATTAATTTATAACAATATTTAAACATATTTACAAAATGAAATCCAAAAAGGGCCACCCCTTTCTTGAAAGGCTTTGATAGTATCCTCAAATTTCAACGATCAACAATTTTCAACAATCAATAGTACTCAAAGTCTCAAATATGTACTAATAGGTTATAGGCAAGCCACATGAATGATGAATCTAATTCTAAAATCTAAATAGTGGGTTTGATTGTTAATTGTTTTTTCCATTTTAAATAGGTTATAAGCAGGCCACATCAATGAACTTAAAGCTGAAAAAATGTAATTTGAGAGGGATATGGATATGGAAATTGGAAGGTAATCTAATCTGACTATCTGAGACTAAGAGGGAGCATACGTGATACGGCTAGCGGGCTAGGGCATACCTTCAACTTGAGAGCAGTCGGCGTTAGGACTGTTAAAGGCCGTCGGCGTTAGGACTGTAGGAGGGCCGCTGACGTTAGTCTGTAGGAGAGCAGCCGACGTTACGTCTATAGGAGAGAGCGAGTCAGCGAGGCGTTAGGACTATCATTCGTCACTCGTCAGGTCGGCCATCGTGAGTAACTGCATAGAGCGAGAGGCGAGGCTAGCCGCTAGGAGGCGTCGTCGATAGGGACACAGGGTACGACAATCGACGTTCGTTTGGTTGAAATTTGAATCGAGGCGATGACACAAGGACACAGCGATAGAAGCTAATAGACAGAGGTCAAGAGTGAAGGCTCAAGTCAATGGACAATTGGGTGGGCTTAAGAAGCTTGGGCTTTGGGCTTATAAAATTGTAATTATGAAATACTGAAATTTAAATATATTAATATATTATATATATTATCGGGTCAGTGAGTACCGTCCCCGTCCCCATCCCCGATATAATCCCCGAAACTACCCTCGATCCCCGCCCCGTCCCCGTTAAGAGGTCCTCGAAACTGACCCGAATTGTTCGGTTTTTGGTTTTCACCGTCGGTTTTGGTTTTTTTTTTGCCATCCCTATGAACACCACTCATGTCTACTTCTAATGCGTACGAACCAGAGTTATCTCCCAGGAACCTATAGCCATGTAGGAGAGTTTCTGCTTCTGCAAGTAACTTTTGAAGATTGAAAGAGAGGTAATCCCAGTTCCAGCCAAACATATGGGATTACATCTCTTCCTTTACTATCACACCTTCTACTCTATCAGCTACTTTAATTTTGAGTTGGAATTCACAACTCACTTCCGACCGATAAGTGGCATGAAAAACAACGAATAAGGGATGACCTCGTTCCCGAGTCTCATCAATATCTCAACATGTTACGAAGCTTCAATCTTACGGTCAACTTGATGCGGGAGTAGCTAAAATAATAATAATAATAATAATAATAAGAATGACAGAAAATGAAACCAAAAAGGAGTCTGACAAGGGCCCCGTATCATTGAGGTTCGAATTTCGGTTCAATTGGATGAATCTGTCAAGTCAAGGTTAATGTATGTAGCAGCAAGGAAGGTGCATGAGGAAATATGTCAAGTGTCATTTTTCAGTTATATGAGCATGAAATAAATTGATGGCCTTTGCTTCATCTGCAGTTATTGGTGTAGGGGATAAAGTGCTGAAATCTTAAGCTATAGACTCAAATCGTAAGCAAACTGTACATGCGAAGAGAAGAGATGTAAATAAATCAACAATAGGCCCTATCTAGAGACAGAAGGGGTCTAGTCTGAAACTGGTCATGGAACCATAGGTAAAGACTGTTTCTCCACAGAGCTTCAGTTGTGCCCCTTTGTGAACGAGGGGATCAAAGTGGAAGGTCGCATAGGCTCTCGGGAAGCTCAATCAATGATATATATATATATATATATATATTATAGATATTATTAACGTTTTTTAACGACGAGAACTATTTTCCCTTTTTGCATTTAACAGGGAGGGAACAGAAGGGGAAGACATTTCATTGATTTCTCCCAGGGGCCTTTATCGTATCATGGTCTAGATTTAAAGTATGCCAGATGATTGATCCTTATACATGAGAGAGGTCGTGATAAGAGCTTCTGTAAGGAATGACGTCATAGCTCATGCAAAAGAAATAACAATCAAAGTCGTAGGTGGTTCCTTATTCCGTAAAATAAGAAGTTGTGCCCTTCTAGCCAAAGGCACTTCGGGATCAAATAAAGGCATCACATAAGGAATCGGGGAAGCATAGGAGCAAAAAATGCAACACAACAAGGGGTAAACCAAAGTCTATCTATTTTCAACCGAGAAACAAAACACGATCAATGCCTATGTTGTTGCTGATGTGGAGAAATTAGTACTAGCCGATCCCTAATCTCACAAATAGATTTCAACCTATTTTCAACTATAGAAAAAGAAAAAAATACAAAAAAAAAGATCTTGCCATAAGCTCAACTAAGAGTTCTGGATCAAAAAATTCAACTTACAAGAGTTGCACTAGAAAAATGGAAAGGATCTAGGCAGCCAACAACAAGCGTAGGGGTTATTACATAAGTGCGGTCTACCCTATCTATAGATGATAGATATATCTCACTTTTGAGATGAGACCTTTCGGCGAATCCTAGTCAATTTCGGGCTTCACACCCTTTCACTCTTGGGACTGATTTGCCCGTTGGAGAGTTCCATTCTCAAGATTCAAGGCTATTCTTTCTCTACTTGTATTGCAGGACTTCTTCCAACAGACTTACCTATGACCAATCCCATACTGAGAGACACGAAAACATAGGTAACGCCAGTTGGTGAAGTGGCATTGAGTGCTAAGATAGCAAGCTTATAAGTTGAGTTTGCCCACAAGGATAGTAAGAGAGTTTTCATACACTTGAGCTATTGTTCAAGGCGCAGAGGGGAAGATATGCAACCCTATTTAGGGAGTGCAATAGTTATTAGTGTGTAGTAGATTGGCTCAAGTGCATAATACGCCAGTCGCCAAAAGAAAAACAAGAAAACAATCTGCCTTTTTTTGGTACCAATAATTACCTTTTTCTGGGCTCTTTCATTTGGATGAATCTGTCAAGTCAAGGTCAACGTACGTAGCAGCAAGCATTTAATGCGAGTCGAAGTATATGGCTGTCGAGTTAGTTAAATGCTAGATTATTCCGAACAAGAGAGGTTTGATGCTTCTGAATCCATTGTATTAATTCCACAACTTAAAAAGTATCTTAGGACACCACTTTTTCTAAAGTCGGGTGTGAGTTTTGCTGATCCCAAACTAGTCTATCTAGAATGTCAGAATCTAGAGAGTGGATGCTCATATAGGATCAAAGTAATACTACTACTTATAGGTCTAAAATGAGACTGATTGGAGTAATCCATACTTCCTAAAAAAATTTATAAGGATATTTCTTTTTAGGAAAAAGAGGGGCTAAATCTTTCGTAAGGGGTAAGAATGGTGTCGAGGTCTTAAGAGAAAGGAACATCTCTCATAATGTGTTCTATGCTGATTTACAACCACCCCGCCCCTAGCCCTACCGTCCAAAAGTAGGAAGCACAGTCAGGAAGGTAAGTAAAACTTCATATGGGTTCAATAGGGTTAAAAGGGAGGCCTCGTCGAAATCATCGTTGTGCAAATTTAGCAATCGTACTGGTAAATAATAGAACAACGCATTTAAAAAAGTCTGGAATCATGGGTTACTAATTGGTGTAATAGATAAACTTTCATGCTAGTTCTTGCTCCAGCATGAAAGTTCCATTTCAGGGTGGAAATATGTTTGGAATAAATGGGTACACCCAAAAATTGCAGGTGAAAAAAGTAGGATAGAGAGGCCGGATAAATGGTCCAAGATGCTTAGAGCTAGTGATGAAAGGGTTATTTTGCTGATCTGAAAACTTAGCACTTGTTTTCTTATTGATTCCAAGGGAGTGGAGATTCCCCTTTTGATTGGAGTTTTAAGGTGGGAAAAGAAGTACAAGGTTCGCTTAGACTATGCTATGTATGAATTCATGGGTGCTTGCCTGGGGTTGGTGTTAAGTACGTGCCAACTAGGTCAGATTAGAGCAACATTGTATAAGCTACATAACCAAATGCATTCACACCGTATGCTCCGCTCTTAGGGAGAGAATCTACGGATTCTGTGAACCAAAAGAATTGTACATCGCTAGGAAGATTGATCATTATTCTCCCGGGGACACTCCTGTTCTGCATGAATTGCTTTCTTTTCTTTGCGGATGATGGTAATTTCATACCAATTAATGTGGTATATTCTCCTGATGTCGAATTCCAAAAACTAGCGAGAGGTAGCTAGTTTCATTCAATACATTAAATGAAAGACACCCAAAACTCAAATACATTAAAGATATATCAAAAAGGATATTCTAGGAGAATAAAATGAAAGATTTTGACAAGAGTAAAGGTTTAGAAGGTTAAAATGAACTTACAAATGAGTTTTCAAGAAAACCCCAAAATATGGTCAACAATGGTGGAAGGATGAAGAAGAAGATTGTTGGTCCTGTAAGGGTCTACAAGAATAGAAACAGTTTGTAGAAGGGGGGATGAATACAAACACATTATTTTCAAATTTAAAATATATATTGATAGAGAAGATCAATACAGATTTTACAAGACTGTTTGCGGAAAGATAAGGTAAAGAAAACCTATCTA